TGGTTCTAGTGGTCTACGATGAAGTTCTAGTGGTCACTGAGGAGGTTCTTTAGGTGGTTCTAGTGGTCCACAATGAAGTTCTAGAGGTCACTGAGGAGGTTCTTTAGGTGGTTCTAGTGGTCACTGAGGAGGTTCTTTAGGTGGTTCTAGTGGTCTATGATGAAGTTCTAGTGGTCACTGAGGAGGTTCTTTAGGTGGTATTAATAACTATACTTATACTAATAACTATACGTTGATCTTCGTGTGTCTCCACCAACATCCTCCATTCACTAAAGCAGTGAGTGTGTTTGGAGAACCTCACTAATACACCGGCTCCTCCTCTCAGGGATTACAGAATCACCGTCTTTGCCACCTGCCACGCCATCAGGAGGAGCTACAGTGGACCTCCCTCCTCCTCCTCCTCCTCCTCCTCCTCCTCTGAGTGTGACCGGCCCTACCTCTGTCGCCGCTGGCAACGGCTGGTGACCCACCGGCTGCTGTGCTCCAGGCAGGAGGCCGCAAACAACATGGCCGCCACAGCAGGAGGCAGCGTGGAGCAGAGGAGACGGCAGGTCTTCACTGTCAACTGCACCTCCTCCTCCTCCTCCTCCTCCTCCACGACGAAGAAGGCCTACAGGAGCACCTCCTTCTACGTGACAGACGGAGGAGTGGAGTTTATCTGACCTGCTGCTGCTTTTATCAACAGTTCTTTCTTTGTGTTCAATAAAGTTCTGTTGTGATCAGGAGTTAATCTATTATCATATTATTATTATTATTATTATTATTATTATTATTATTATTATTGTTGTTGTTGTTATTATTATAATAATAATAATATTGTTGTTGTTGTTGCCAGACGATATAAACATCCGGGGCGGAGTTTTCATTCGTTTATAATCACCTGAAAATAAGAATCATTGTGTTTTTGTTACGTTAAAATGAATATTTACTACTCTGAGGAGTCCGCCATGTTTCTACGGTAGCCCAGAGCGGACAAACACTGGCTCCAGAGAGGAGGTTCACTTCACTGTAGTTTGTTTCTGGCTGTGGAGTTTGAAGTGAGGGAGTTGCAACCTGTAACTACTAGATGGCACTGAACCTTCACACTGGTCCTTGAATCCTGAGATTGAAGTCATGGATATATTATATCTGTATTTTTATATTGACATGATTGTTGTTTATGTTTCTTGGTAAACAAATAAAAACAAACAAATGGTTTTACAGCACTGATGTTATATTTCAAAATAAAGATAAATAAATAATAAATAATGAAAAAATAAGATTAAAAAAGGATTATAATTTTGGGGACCTGGTCTGATTAGGAGAGACGGCATCCATCCCACTTTGGATGGAGCGGCTCTCTTATCTAGAAATATGGCGAAGTTTATTTCTAAAACCTGACAGTCCAGAGTTAGGACCAGGAAGCAGATCTGCTGTCTTACACACTTCTCTGCGCTTTCTTTAGAACAGTCACCCACCCAAAACCCCATAGAGACTGTGTCTGTCACCCGACCACCTAAATTATTTAAAGAAATAAAAACAAGAGGAGTTCAACATAAAAATCTAATAAAAATTAAAACCAACTCCTCAGTAGCACAAAATAAGAGAATGAAATGTGGGCTGTTAAATATCAGGTCTCTGTCCTCTAAAGCTGTTTTAGTGAATGAATTAATATCAGATTATGATATTGATTTACTTTGTCTTACTGAGACCTGGTTGTCCCACGAGGAGTATGTTAGCCTAAATGAATCCACCCCCCCAGTCATATTAATACTCACATTCCTCGAGGCACTGGCCGAGGAGGTGGAGTAGCAGCCATATATGATTCAAGCGTTTTAATGGACCCTAAACCTAAACTAAATTATAATTCATTTGAAAGCCTTGTTCTTAGTCTTTCTCACCCAAACTGGAAAACATTGCAGCCAGTTCTATTTGTTATAGTGTACCGCGCTCCTGGACCGTACTCTGATTTTATATCTGAATTCTCAGAGTTTCTATCATGTTTAGTCCTTAAATCAGATAAAGTAATTATTGTAGGTGATTTTAATATTCATGTGGATGTTAACAATGACAGCCTTAGTAATGCATTTATATCATTAATAGACTCAATTGGCTTCTGTCAGAGTGTAAATAAACCAACTCATTGTTTTAATCACACTCTTGACCTTGTTCTATCATATGGCATTGATATTGAACATTTAATAGTCTTCCCACATAATCCTTTCCTATCTGACCATTATTTAATAACTTTTGAATTCATATTATTAGATTATAAGCCATTAGGCAAAACTTCCTACAGCAGATGTCTATCTGACAGTGCTGTAGCTAAATTTAAGGAGGAGATTCCTTCAGTGTTTAATTCAATGCCATGTCTGAATTTAACAGAGTCCTATAACAACTTTAGTCCCTCTGAAATTGATAATCTTGTCGATAGTGCTACAGGCTCACTACGATCAACATTAGACTCTATCGCTCCTATAAAAAGGAAATTATTAAAACATAGGAGACTAGCACCTTGGTATAACCACCAAACCCGCCAGTTAAAACAAATAGCTAGACAATCTGAAAGGAAATGGCGCTCTTCCAAATTATCAGAATATCGCTCAAATTGGCAAGATAATCTTAAAACTTATAGAAAGGCCCTCCGTAATGCCAGAGGAGCCTATTACTCAGCACTAATAGAAAAAAATAAGAATAACCCTAGGTTCCTCTTCAGCACTGTAGCCAGGCTGACAGAGAGTCACAGCTCTATTGAGCCACATATCCCCATAACCTTAAGTAGCAATGACTTCATGAGCTTCTTTTATAATACAATTATTACTATTAGAGAGAAAATGAATCACCAACTGCCATCAACAGTTATCAGTGGCTCTCCAAGTTCAAGGACTTTTTCTAATGTAAACTTAGATATATATTTAGACTGTTTTTCTGCTATTGATCTTCATCAGTTAACTTCAATCATTTCCTCATCGAAGCCATCAACCTGTCTATTAGACCCGATCCCAACTAGGCTGCTTAAAGAAGTTGTTCCCTTAATTGGCACTTCTTTACTGGATATGATTAATCTTTCTTTATTATCAGGATATGTACCACAGTCCTTTAAAGTAGCTGTAATTAAACCCCTTCTTAAAAAGCCCACTCTTGACCCAGGGGTTTTAGCCAACTATAGACCGATTTCTAACCTCCCCTTCCTCTCTAAGATTCTGGAGAAAGTAGTCGCCAAAGAGTTGTGTGACTTTCTACATAACAATAGTTTATTTGAGGATTTTCAGTCAGGATTTAGAGTTCATCATAGCACAGAGACAGCTCTGGTTAAAGTTAATAATGACCTTCTGATTGCTTCTGACAATGGACTTGTCTCTGTACTTGTATTATTAGATCTTAGTGCTGCATTTGACACCATTGACCATAATATTCTTTTACAGAGACTTGAGCATCAAATTGGCATTAAAGGAACCGCACTAAGCTGGTTTAAGTCATATTTATCAGATCGTTTGCAGTTTGTACATGTTAACGATGAATCTTCAATAAATACTACAGTTAGTCATGGAGTTCCACAAGGTTCTGTACTTGGACCAATACTATTTACTTTATATATGCTCCCTTTAGCTAACATTATTAGGAATCACTCCATTAACTTTCACTGTTATGCAGATGATACGCAGTTATATCTATCAATCAAACCCAATGAAATTAATCAATTATCTAAATTACAAACATGTCTTGAGGACATAAAATCCTGGATGAGCTGCAATTTTCTGATGTTAAACTCAGAAAAAACGAAATTCTTGTTCTTGGCCCCAAAAACCTTAGAGACTCATTGTCTAAAGATATAGTCACTCTAGATGGCATTAACTTGGCCTCTAGCACCACTGTCAGGAATCTTGGAGTTATCTTTGATCAGGATTTGTCATTTAACTCCCACATAAAGCAGACCTCTAGGACTGCCTTCTTTCATTTACGTAATATTAAAAAAATTAGACACATCCTATCACAGACAGATGCATAAAAACTAATCCATGCATTTGTTACTTCAAGGCTGGATTACTGCAACTCTTTATTATCAGGTTGCCCCAATAAGTCCATTAAAACGCTCCAATTAATTCAGAACGCTGCAGCACGAGTACTGACAGGAACTAGAAAAAGAGATCACATCTCTCCTGTACTAGCTTCTCTGCATTGGCTCCCTGTAAAATGTAGAATAGAATTTAAAATCCTCCTCCTCACCTATAAAGCTCTTCATGGTCAGGCCCCTTCATATCTTAAAGAGCTCATAGTACCCTATTACCCCACTAGAACACTACGTTCTCTGAATGCTGGGCTACTTGTGGTTCCTATAGTCTCTAAAAGTAGAACAGGAGCCAGAGCCTTCAGTTACCAAGCTCCTCTCCTGTGGAACCAGCTTCCAGTTGTGGTTCGGGAGGCAGACACCCTCTCCACATTCAAGAGTAGGCTTAAGACATTCCTCTTTGATAAAGCTTATAGTTAGGGCTGGATCAGGTGAGTCCTGAACCATCCCTTAGTTATGCTGCTATAGGCCTAGACTATCGGGGGATTTCCCATGGTGCACTGAGCTCCTCCCTTCCTCTCTCTTTCTGCACTCATTCATGTTCCATTAATGCATGTTACTAACTTCACTTCTTCCCCGGAGTTCTTGTGCTTTCTCGTCTCGCAGGTTCTTATCGATCCTGGTGGAGCCTCCTGCCATGGTCCTGCTAGATTGCCATTGCCAATACTGTTGTTGCTGTGCACCTGTCTGTCTGTCTGTCTCTGTCTCTCTCTCTCTCTCTCTCTCTCTCTCACCCCAACTGGTCGAGACAGACGACCACCCACCTAGAGCCGGAGGATCTGTCCTAGGTTTCTGCCTTTTAACAGGCAGTGTTTCCTTGCCCTTGTCTCCAAGGTCTTGCTCATGGTGGTACTGTTGGGTCTCTGTAAATAATGTTATAAAGAGTTCGGTCTAGACCTGCTCTATTTGAAAAGTGTCCTGAGATAACTTCTGTTATGAATTGGCGCTATACAAATAAAATTGAATTGAATTGAAATTGAATAATAAATACAGATAATGTATAGAGATAATAGTAAAGATGAATATTAAATGAAGATAAAAGATAATAAAAGTAACATCACGTGTATTTGTTGTTTTTTAAATAAACATGTTTATTATAGAACCATTAAGATCACAGAAATATATAATATATAATATATACAAAGGTATTGACCTTTGAACTTTGTTACAGAAATGAGATAATACAGTTTATTTACACTGAAGGTCAGATCAACAGGAAGCTCACAGCTACAATAAATACACTTTATTTACATTATTATTCCTCCTTATAGTTATATAGTTATATATAACTATATATATAGTTATATATAACTATAGTTATATATAACTATAGTTATATATAACTATATATATAGTTATATATAACTATATATATAGTTATATATAACTATAGTTATATATAACTATAGTTATATATAACTATAGTTATATATAACTATATATATAGTTATATATAACTATAGTTATATATATCTATATATATAGTTATATATAACTATAGTTATATATAACTATAGTTATATATAACTATATATATAGTTATATATAACTATATATAAAACTATATATAGTTATATATACATATATGTATATATATATGTATGGATCTGTTAGCATATGTAGCATACAGCTATCGACCTCTGCCCTGTGGCTTTGCATTAATTGATGAGTGGCTCTATGTTCGGGGCACGTGCGGCGGAGCTCCGGATCCGGACCCTCGCGGATCCAGTCCGGGACTTCAGGTCTGATGACAGAGACCGCTTCACCAGAGCAGCCCTCCAACGGATCCCTCCGCGGGGTCAGACTCACTTTTTACACAACACAAACAAATAAACCCGCCGCGCCGCGCGCACCGACGCACCGACACCTTCTACACTCTCCCTCCGGTGAGTGTCACCTGATTTCCGGGCGCAGCCAACCAGCGGTTCCCGGTGAAACGCTCCGGTTGAACAGTTATCCCCCGTTCTCCGGGACCTACTTCTCCTGCTGTCGCTGACAGGCGGTGCTTCGGTCGCTCCCAAACATGGCCTCCATGACGGAGCGACCGCTTCAACTTTAATTTTTTCGCCAATTTTCAGAGCAAAAACCGCCGTTTTTTCCTTCCCCGGTCACCGGGAATGTGTCACCGGGAACCGGAATCGCGCCTGGCTGCTGACCCCGATGTGACCGTTGGGAGGAGTCCGCTGCTGGAGTCGCTCTGATCGGTTGAAGTTGAAGCTGGAGAGGAAAAAGAGAATCGCATCAGATCAGTAAGGACGCTTCTCCTCCTTCCTCTCGACACCTGCGCAGGTTCCCCTCTCGCTGCCGTCGCCTGGAAGCTTCCCGCCTTTCACTCGGTAACGCTCGGTAACGGTTACCGTGTGCGGGGCGAGGAATAAGCGCGCGGCGGAGCTCGCTGCTAAGTGCGCGCTAACAGCTAGCCCGCTAGCTAATGCTAATGCTAACAGAGAAGTGATCAGTCAACTGGGCGGTCCGAGGAAGCTAACGGCTAACAGCTAACAGCTAACGGCTAACAGCTAACGGCTAACGGCTGTGTGTTTAATTTAAAGCGGAAACAGAGTGAAGTGCTGAATAACGACTGAATGAATGAATGAATGAATGAATTATTGATCTGAATGAACTCATCACTCACTTTAGATTCATCCAGCTCATAAAGTAGTCCGCTAACTCACTGAGGAAACTTTATGGATCATTCATATTGATCAGTATCAATAACAGCAGAGAGCAGCTGATCAACTGATCAATGAACACAAACAGGAACTCAATAACTGCAGGGAGTTTGATTATTGATCAGAGAGCAGTTTTCCTGATATATTGATTCTGTATTGTCTCAGTTGAACAATCACAGATTACTTTCAGTCAGTAAGTAATCAATAAGTTGTGTACAGCAGCATTATAATGAGCTGCTGACCTACAGAGGGAAGACCCCAATACTTCCCAATCACTCATATTGATCAGCTGGCTTCACATATCAGGAATCTGACTGTTTACTTTGCTCTCAATGTACAAACATAAACAGAACGACGACAACAACAACAACAACAACAACAACACAGACATTAACTATGTACAGTTATACACATATAAACAATAACACTGTACACAGACAACAACAACAACAACAACAACAACAAAGGATGTGTGTGTACAGTGTGTGTAACTGGTTCTCTGTGTGTAACTGGTTCTCTGTGTGTAACTGGTTCTGGGCTCTGTGTGTGACTGGTTCTCTGTGTGTAACTGGTTCTCTGTGTGTAACTGGTTCTCTGTGTGTAACTGGTTCTGGGCTCTGTGTGTAACTGGTTCTCTGTGTGTGACTGGTTCTCTGTGTGTGACTGGTTCTCTGTGTGTAACTGGTTCTGGGCTCTGTGTGTAACTGGTTCTCTGTGTGTAACTGGTTCTCTGTGTGTAACTGGTTCTCTGTGTGTAACTGGTTCTGGGCTCTGTGTGTAACTGGTTCTCTGTGTGTGACTGGTTCTCTGTGTGTAACTGGTTCTCTGTGTGTAACTGGTTCTCTGTGTGTAACTGGTTCTCTGTGTGTAACTGGTTCTGGGCTCTGTGTGTAACTGGTTCTGGGCTCTGTGTGTAACTGGTTCTGAAGCCACAGCAGCTCCAACATCTGGACCCGGCGCGGTGGCTGGGAGCGCTTGATTCGAGTTCTCTGTGAGCCGAGTGTTTTAAACATCGTAGACCATCGCGTACGTTTAATTGTGTGAAGCAGATAATTAATTATTCTAAAAAACTAAAATCTTTCCAAACATCGCTGTGACAGCGGGTCGGCGCTCTGCCGGCAGCGTGTGACTGAAGCGGTGAACGTTATCGGCGCTGTGATGGACAGATTAATATATTATATATTAAACCTGCTGGTTGTCTCTCTTCTGGTACACCAAACCTCAACTCCCTCTCTCTGTTGTTTTTACCCAGAATGCCATCTGAGGCTCAGTCTCAGGAGCCTCGGGACAGAGGACCGGCCCCTCCCGTCACTCGGGCCGGACGCAGCGCTCAGCTGGCCAAAGCCGCCGCCGCCACCAGCCCCGCCCTCGAGAGGCGGCCTCGTGGGCGGCCTCGGAAAGATGGGAGCAGTGGCCGCTCCGCGCCTCCCACCCCCTCCTCCTCCTCCGCCACCACCTCCCCCTCCACCTCCCAAATCAAGGAAGAAGTAAGTCTCAGAGGATCATGAAGCTGTCTGGGGTTCAGTGGCGTCCCCCATCAGCACAGAGCAGGTTCAGCCTCGGCCCCACACTAACACACATCACTGAATACCTGCTGCTACATATCTGATGCCAGGGCTGATAGGCGCTGGTACATACAGTGGTACAGACTGAGTGCAGCAGGAATCTCACTACACACACATCAGAGTGTGTGTGTGTGTGTGTGTGTGTGTGTGTGTGTGTGTGTGTGTGTGTGTGTGTGTGTGTGTGGGGCTCAGATGTGTGTGTGTGTGTGTGTGTGTGTGTGTGTGTGTGGGGCTCAGAGTGTGTGTGTGTGTGTGTGTGTGTGTGTGTGTGTGTGTGGGGGGGGCTCAGAGTGTGTGTGTGTGTGTGTGTGTGTGTGTGGGGGGGGCTCAGAGTGTGTGTGTGTGTGGGGCTCAGAGTGTGTGTGTGTGTGTGTGTGTGTGTGTGTGTGTGTGTGGGGCTCAGAGTGTGTGTGTGTGTGTGTGTGTGTGTGTGTGTGTGTGTGGGGCTCAGAGTGTGTGTGTGTGTGTGTGTGTGTGTGTGTGTGTGTGTGTGTGGGGGGGGGGGCTCAGAGTGTGTGTGTGTGTGGGGCTCAGAGTGAGTGTGTGTGTGTGTGTGTGTGTGTGTGTGTGTGTGTGTGTGGGGCTCAGAGTGTGTGTGTGTGTGTGTGTGTGTGTGTGGGGGGGCTCAGAGTGTGTGTGTGTGTGTGGGGGGGGCTCAGAGTGTGTGTGTGTGTGTGTGTGTGTGTGGGGCTCAGAGTGTGGGTGTGTGTGGGGCTCAGAGTGTGTGTGTGTGTGGGGCTCAGAGTGTGTGTGTGTGTGTGTGTGTGTGTGTGTGTGGGGGGCTCAGAGTGTGTGTGTGTGTGTGTGTGGGGGGGCTCAGAGTGTGTGTGTGTGTGTGTGTGTGGGGCTCAGAGTGTGGGTGTGTGTGGGGCTCAGAGTGTGTGTGTGTGGGGGGGCTCAGAGTGCGTGTGTGTGTGTGTGTGTGGGGCTCAGAGTGTGTGTGTGTGTGTGGGGGGGCTCAGAGTGTGTGTGTGTGTGTGTATGGGGCTCAGAGTGTGTGTGTGTGTGTGTGTGTGTGTGTGGGGCTCAGAGTGTGGGTGTGTGTGGGGCTCAGAGTGTGTGTGTGTGTGGGGCTCAGAGTGTGTGTGTGTGTGTGTGTGTGTGTGTGTGTGTGTGTGTGTGTGTGTGTGTGTGGGGCTCAGAGTGTGTGTGTGTGTGTGTGTGTGTGTGTGTGTGGGGGGCTCAGAGTGTGTGTGTGTGTGTGTGTGGGGGGCTCAGAGTGTGTGTGTGTGTGTGTGTGTGTGGGGCTCAGAGTGTGGGTGTGTGTGGGGCTCAGAGTGTGTGTGTGTGTGGGGGGCTCAGAGTGCGTGTGTGTGTGTGTGTGTGTGTGTGGGGGGCTCAGAGTGTGTGTGTGTGTGTGTGGGGGGCTCAGAGTGTGTGTGTGTGTGTGTATGGGGCTCAGAGTGCGTGGGTGTGGGTGGGTGTGTGTGTGTGGGGGGGGGGGGGCCTCAGTGTGTGTGTGTGTGTGTGTGTGTGTGTGTGTGTGTGTGTGTATGGGGCTCAGAGTGTGTGGGTGTGGCTCAGTGGTCGTCCACTAATCTGAAGGTTGTTGGTTCGATCCCCGCCTCCTCTCGCTGCATGTCGAAGTGTCCTTGAGCAACATATTGAACCCAAAATGTGTATGGGTGGGTGAGTGTGTGTGGATGGGTGTGTGTGGATGGGTGTGTGTGGATGGGTGAGTGAGTGTGGATGGATGGGTGAGTGAGTGAGTGTGGATG